ATAATAATAATAATAATAATAATAATAATAATAATAATAATAATAAACACAAATAATGAACACTAACCTGACAGCCTAACCGCTCGGCAAGTGGCTGATACCCTCCAGCCTATTGGAACGTCGGGTAATGGGCAGGGTTATTGAGGAATATACGAGTCCTGCTGTGAAACCATTCGAGGTAACCCTGCTCCGGCTGCAGATAGTCGTCCACAGGGGCAACTGGGAGGAGACGATCGGCTCTGTCATCGGTCCACGAGCTCAGAATAGGTACATGGAATGCGGCCCAATCATAAAATGCCCTCCTAGTCATGCCCTTCCCTCTGTGGTGTGCGTTCCACTCTCGCTCATCCCGAATGATCGGATCTTGGGGGATGGATTGGCGACACCCAAATTGCCGGAGGACCATATCAGGCAGGTGTACCTCCCGGGTGTTCCAACTGAAGATCCACCCCCGGTAGGTCCAAAATTGTCGATCGTCTGTGCACACATCCGAGAGAGAATCATTGTTCAGGACGTTTTGATAGGGCTGCCAATCGAACTGTAATAAAAAAATAACAAGTGGATTAGTAATTGAGTTATTACAAAATTAAAAAAAAAAACAAAGATAAATCACAGAAAAATAAGAACTGTAAAAAGAAATAAACAATTGAATTAAAAACATTACCTCATCCTCTCTCAGCCCTGTAAACTGATCTCGGTAGGCGGCCAATCTAGTGGCTATGTTTGACCTAGATCTCGGTCCAACCCACCTTAAAATCACAGAAAAAAAGTTTGTAATCACAAAATTTGATAATGAAAATAATGTACGGATTAAATAAAAATAAAAGTTATTACCTCGCTCCCAATGGACTATCGGGCAGAGTATCAAACATACTTTTCTTCAGCTTTGGGCGAATACGAGGGATATGCTCCCATGCCCAAACCTACACAAATGGACATTAATTTTGTTATTAGGTATTAGTCGAAGTAAGAAAAATAAAATATTAAATTTTCAAATAATAATTAAATAAATTTATCGGGATCAATTGAACGCAGTTCTTCACACACTTCTCTGAGGCCACGAACGAGGTCGCCAACGCTCTGTATACTCCGGCCAAGAGCGCTGAACCCCAGTTGTACCCCTTAATACCGTCGAAGTCCTCTAACAGCTGGAGCCAGTAAAGTGAGACGCCATCCGCCAGCTGGTCGGGGAAGATGAAGGACCCAATGCACCATATGATAAGGGCCCTCGCCCTCTGCTCGTACACGACGTCCGGTCGTCCTTCTTGCAACTCAGTCTTGCAAGAGCGCTCCAAAATCTCGATATTCAACCACTGGCCTTTAATTTTCCACTTGCTAGAGTCCTGTGCTGCTTGCTCTGCCTCGGTGATGGGAGGATCCTGAGAGTTGTTTTTCCGTATTAAAAATAATAAAATTGAGTTGACATATATTTAAAAATTATCTATGAAAAATATACCTGAACGTAGTGCTCAAACCCTAGCAAGTCCTTGCACCTCTCTCACCACTGTAGGGGTGATAGCTCTAGAGTCACTCCCAAAACAGCAGCTCCATTGATTGGCAGACCGAACAGGACTTGTACGTCCTGGAGTGTGATGGTGGTCTCGCCGAAATCAAAATGGAACGTATTCGTCTCTGGGCGCCACCTCTCCACGAGAGCAGTGATGAGGGCGTTGTCGGCTTGAACTCGACCTATTCGAAACATGGGGCCAAAACCAGTCCGGTCGATGGCCCTCCAAACCAAAAGTGTCTGCATTGGCACTGCCTTCCAAAACTGAGTATCGAAACGACGGTTTGTGAGCGTCGTGTCACGAGCTCCCGGCACATTATCAAATACCGCATGTGCCCAATGTTTGTACTGAAGATATAGAAGACTCTCATCCCTCGGATCGGGATGCACTGTACTGCTGAGGCTGTGAGGAGGACGATGAAGCCATTTATCTACAAACAATAGAAAAAAGAATAGATTACGATTAAAGTTATTCTGGCATAAGAATAATACATATTAAACTCGAAATACTTCATAAAGGAATCCTTCGGGTACACCGAAACAATAGAAAAAATTCACAAATCCACCTTCAACACCTCTTCACCCCATCACAATCATCACAAATTCACAAATATATAACAACAAAACCAATAACACAAGCAAAGAAGCTCAAAACTAAAGAACCTCTTTGAGACATTTTATCAAACACCTTGAAATCATATATTCCCAAACAAACTACAAAACCTAATCACATTCCAAATAACCTATCAATTTAACTTACAAAAATATTTAACAATTACGTCAACATATCTCATTTCCATTAAACAAGATATTCAATATTCAAAAAATACCCTAATTCAAAAATGATTGAAAATTGGTAAAAATTGAAGTCCTAATTGAACAAATGTACCTTATTGACCGTAAGGAGACGGCGACAATATGTGGTGCAGTGACAGTGAGACGGCGATGCTCTTTTTTTTTTCGACCGAATTGCAGTGCAAGCTCGAGCTCTCTTCTCTTCTCTCGCTATCTATCTCTCCCTCTCTCTGTGTTTCTTGCTTCTCTGTTCGCGTAAAGAAGAAGAGAAGAATTTTTTCTTATATTAATAGAGAAACCATATTACTTGAATATGTTTTCTGCATGATTTAATTGTAGAATGTATTCTAAGAATACGGTTTCTAAAAAAAATGATACGAGGATCCCAGATTGGGGACTCGACCCGGGTCAGTGGGCGAGTCCGGTTTCTCTGGGCGCACCTCGTACCATTGTGCCGGCAGACACTTTCCGTTTATTTTTGTACAAATTATATACATATACAAATGCATATACTATAGATTATAGAATAAATTGTAATTTATATAGTCTACTTAATTTATATAACATATATGTTATATTATAATATCTATGTTATATAGTATAATATAACATATATGTTATATTATAACATATGTTATAAAATATAACATATATTATGTAACACCCCGCTATTTTAAATACATCAGAGTGCGCGATTTTTCGCAAATTTTCTGAATAATTAAACAAAATACTTATTTTTGCGAAAACTGATCGGGATGCTACCGTGAAAACTTGATTTTTCCTGAGAATCGTTTAAAAATTTAAAATGATAAATAAAAACGGTCATAATGTCTTATCCGACAAACATCGGAACAAAGTCTGA